GGCTGTGTCGACTGAGAAAAGTCTTGCTATCTAAAGGAATCTCAATATTTGATGGATGAGGAATGGGTTCACAAATCAGCACCAAGCATGTCATGGGTGGTTTCTTGTACCCACACTGAGATTGGTTACTGTTGGTATCATATACATGAATGTGGCCTGTGCAGTGAAGCACCTGTGTATGAGCAAGAAAATAAGCAGTTACCTTTTTGCTTTTTTCAAAGGGGGAAAAGAAATGCAGGTTAGTAGTTGAGTTAATCTGACAAACTTTATAAAGGTGTATCTTTGAAAATGAAAAGAATGTGTTCTCCATGACACCATCTATGATCTAGTCTGTGTACCACAGTTATTATAAAATGAAAAGGGGTAGTGGAGAGCTGGAGAGATGGCCTGGCAGTTAAGATATAATATAATTAGGTAGTTTTTTAAATAAAGCATTGTGAGGGTGGTGTTCTGGAGAGATGAGGCAGTGGTTACGAGCACTGACTACTTTGCAGAGGACCAAGACTGGATTCCTAGCACCCACATGGCAGCTCAAAATCAAATCACTTGTAACTCTAATTCCTGATGATGCCTTCTCAGCTCTTCAGACAACAAGCATGTATGTATATACTGACATACACGGAGGCAAAATATCCATGCACATAAAAGAAAAACTAGGGATCATTTATAATCCAGAATATGGATCTAAATGCCCTCTTCTGGCCTCTGAAGGCACTGCAAGCACATGGTACACTTACATACATTCAAATAACACACACACACACACACACACACACACACACACGAGAAACAAAAAGGTTCCCTGTGTAAGTCTGGGCTGTCTTTCCTCCTACAGTCATCATTATAGTTGATTTTGCTGTGGTGACAATGGTTCAGTACTGAACAGGAAAATGAAACAGTGATGGATAGAAAAGTAAACTTAAAACAAGATTTAAATACTAGTTGCCAAAGCCAACTGACTAAGTTAGCTTGGTATAGAAATGCCACATTTACATAATTTAAATTTATATCCCAAACTGGCAAATTACTATGCTGTTTTGAATGGAGATTGCACAGACTAGATGCAAGTCCAAATATGCAAAAGAGAACAAATATAATTAGCCACTAATAATTCTTTTTTATGTGTGTAGGTGTTCTGCCTGCATGTGTGTGTGTGTACTTTGTGTGTACCTGGTGCCTGAAGAAGAGATCAGAAAAAAATATTGGTTCTCCAGGAATTGGAGTTACAGATGATTGTGAGCTGAAACATGGGTGCTGGGAACCAAACCAGGTCCCTGACAAGCAAGTGCTGGGAACTTGCCATGTAGACAAGGCTGCCTTCAGACTTACAGCAGGCCTCTGCTTCCCAGGTCACTTTCGCCACTCTTGGGGAAAGCTCATGATCTATAAATCAAGTGCCACTCAGCTGACTTACCTTCCACGTTGCAGACTTTATGTTCATTGTTCTCCCCCGACTAGTTAGGGTGCATTTCATTCTGAGAAAAAAGCTTCTCTGTGTGTTTTGTTCTTTACCTTTTTTCACTGGGCCTAATGAAAGCAAGAAGCAAAGTTTTAAGTCATAGCTAAACAGAAATTTGTTACAATAAGAGTAGCAAAGTGATGATCTCAGTATTAATAGTTGCTCCCTTTTCACCCACTCCAACACATCCATTAGGTCTGACAGCTCCACCCTGAGGCAATGTTTATAAGACTACAGAGATTCTTTGAATTGCAGGAGGAAAGTCCACACTTTATAGAATTAGATGACTGTTATTCATCTGTGCTGGTGTAGAAATATGAAAATGGTATGAGCTTGCCCTAAGTGTGCTGTCAGAATATAAGCATGTCCCCCATAAAAGAACTTGAATACTTCATGTCCTTTACCAAATATGATAATTCAATTTTGAATAAGCAGCAATATATTTATAGAACTTCAAATACCTTTTGGTAGTAAATAGCATCTCTGTGTGTGAAACCCAGGCAGAATGTTTTATCGAAAGTTATAAAAATCATGCCATAGTGGTACATGTCAATACTCTCAGCACTTAGAGGTTGAGAAAGGAGGATGGAGAGTTCTAGGCCAACATGAGCTACACAATGAGACCTTGTTTAAAGTTACAGAAATGGGGCTTGGGAATGTTGCGCAATGGAAGAGTACTTCCTTAGCATATACACGGAAGCCCTAGGTTTGATTCCCCAGTGGCACGAAAAGAAAAAGTCACAGAAATAAGTTGACTCAAGTCTATTTAGTCTTATGCCAAACCTTGTAACTGAAAAATAAGCTTACACTCAGACGACTAAACATCATCTTGATTTCCTACTTTCATTGCTTAGTTTGGTTCGAAACAAATGTTTCATTTATATGAAATGCCCAGAGAAAGTGGATAAGAGGTTGCTTAGGACTGAACAATAGGTAGAAGGAGATGGATGATATAAAGGTATAGAATTTCTTTTTGAGGCAATGATAAATTTCTAAAATCGTTGAGTACAATGGTACATGCCTTTAATCCCAGGAGCTGGGAGGCAGAGGCAGGTGGATCTCTATGAGTTCAAGGACAATTTGGTCTACTTGGATTTCTAGACCAGGCAGACCTAGATAGTGAGATCCTACCTCAGAACAAACAAACAAAAAAATAAATAAATTTTTATTGAAATATTTGAAATTTAGGATACATTTAGGGTATATAAAACTAAAATCTTAGAAAAAAATCAAACAAAATACTCATTATTCAGGATCTAATGTGTATACTTTGAGTGATGCAAAGATAAATAATTAGATGTAATACCTTTAAGCATGTAATAGATACAGCAGGCTCAATAGCAATAGAGTGTAAAGTAGTCAAGGCTTAGTAAGAAAGGTTCAAAGGGATTAGATGGTGCCAGAGGAAAATAAGAAGAGACCATCATACTGTGTAAAAAGGCACTAGTTTGAAAAACCTTACTTCACAAAACTCAAGAGTTACAGGTCTCTCTTACTACTTTTGTTAATGTGTGAGCACCCACAATATAACACTTTTATTTTTGAGATGGGTCTCACTGTGTAGCCTTGGCTGGTTTGAAATTAGCTACACATAAACCAGGTTGGCCTGGAACTCAAAAGACCTGCCTATATCTGCCTCCCAAGTGCTAGGATTAAAGATGCGCAACACCACATGTGGGCCTTCCAGCTAGTCTCAAGTTATTGAAAACATCCTAAGAAGGCAAAGCACTTAAAATTCTGGTCAACTCCCCCACCCTCCTTTGGGCATTGAGAAAGCTTGAACTCAAATTACTACTGTGTTTTCAGTTAACTGTCTAAAATCCTATTACCTGCCACTTGTGCTATGACTTCTTGGCTTAATACTGTATTTTCTTTTATAACTGCCTTGGTCTTGTTTTTTAATTTATTTTTTCATTTTGTCTACTTGTGTAATTACTTATTAATTCAACCAGTTTTAAAACTTTTTTGTAGATTTTCTGAAATGTAGAATAACAGTTTTAACAAAGAACAGAATTAACATTAAATGTAAAATAACATTCTCTCTTAAATCAGTACATTACCAAAAAAAAAAAAATAAAATTAGTAACAGTGTCTGACTGACTGTCATATTAAATCAAACAATAGACTTTCCTTCTCACCATTTCTGTGTGTAAGCATTTCTCTCATTTCCTCATGGTCACATGGATGAGTAAAATCAAACACACTGTGTCCAGTTAGTTCAAACTGTAAACACATTAAAAAAAATTAGATCTATATCATATAATCATAAAGTACCCAGAAGGGTTCTTCATACATGGTGGGCACTTTACCTGAGTTAACCCCATGTATTTGTTCACGTTATCAGAAATGTAAATCATGTCACCATCATCTGTCAGCACCATAACAAAGCCATCCAGGGCTTTCAAATAAAAGCAGTTCATCTGTGCTTTCATTTCATCTTCAGTGTCCAGATCACCTACAAGGGCACAGAGGAAATAAACAAAATGAGGCTTTATCTAAGATGCCTTAAAATATTTATAGTATAAACATTTATTTCTGTATATTTTCATGAGATTTTTTCCATTGTTTTACATAACTTTAATTTGCAAACAGGCATATCACTAAAAAAAGAAAAAAAAAGGATACTTTAAGAAGACAGGCATGCCTTTATAGTCAGCACTAAGGGTAAAGAGAGGTAGGTAGATCTCTGTGAGTTTGAGACCAGCCTGGTTTACATAGGAATATATAGACCAGCCAAGGTTGCATGGTGAGACTCCTTCTTTAAAAAAAGGAGGGGGGGGGTAGGTACAACAGGAGGAAATGGAGGAAAAAGGTCAGTATCTTGAAAATGTCTGAATGAAGCTTCAAAAGCTAATAAGAAAAAGGATTCTGTCATGTGGAAGAATCGAGAACATGTTCTAGAGGATGAAACATATTGGGTTATGTCTACTTATTGATCATGTTACTGTATCAGGAGCTATAGAGTTATATTTGCATGTTTAAAAGTAATGGGTAAATCAAAACAACTTCAGGAGCTATAGAGTTATATTTGTATGTTTAAAAGTAATGGGTAAATCAAAACAACTTATAGTACAAAAAGAATTATTCCCAAAGGTAACTAAGAAAACCTAAGTTTGATTAAAGGTGTAAAGAATACTGAAAAGATAAAGTATACATATCACAACATAATTAGGTACTGCACTGGGGTTCAATCCTCAGCACTCACAGCTGTCTGTAACTAGTTCCAAGGAATCTGACATCCTCTTCTGGCCTCTGGAGGTACTAGATAGGCATGCAAATGTTGAAGGTCAAACACTCACGCACATAGTAAAAATTTAACTATATATACAGCATTGTGGGGCCAGAGAGATGGCTCCAGTTAATAATGGCTCATAAATACCTGAAATTCCAGCTCTAAGGGATCTGACACCCTCTTTTGGCCTTCATAGGCACCTTCATGAGCACATTAACACACACACTCATGAACATGTATGCATACATAGACCCACACACACAACCTCTTACAAATAATTTCTATTTGTCTTTAATTTCTAATTTTTAGGTCTATTATATCCCTGTAGAACTCACCAGCATCCAGAAGCTTCCTCACACGTAAGTAACTGATGGTGAGCCTCATAACAGAAGCTTTATCAAGATGGGAGCTCACATTGTGGGGAAGTGGCAGCTGATGAGCGAGCTCATAAAAAACTTCTGACTCTTTGCTTCGCCGAGATCTTGCTGCATCTCTGGACTTTTCTTTCCGACGTTCAGAACTCATCCTACTTAACAGAAAAAAGAAAAAAAACGGAAGAAAAAGAAAGAATGTATAAGTTAGTTTGCCTTAACTTGAATAAAACTAATTTGCATTTTTGGTATACTATATAAGACTTATTAAGTAATAATATAAGACTTGTATGGGAGATGAACAAAATCTTATATAAGAAAGCTATACAAATTTTGGATCACTGAAAACATAATAAATTCTTTTAAGATGTCCAAGCTTTAAACATTTCCAAGCAGATGTGTTCATCCCCAAATTACAGCAGCCTGTGTATCTAATGTCTCACACTTATTCCAAAGTATTCTTAGCATAGAAAAACCCTAAATAAGTTTGAAGAAACTACACTTGCACATAATAGTTTGAAAACAGGTAATAATTTTATGGGCAGTAAGATAATAGCTATACATGATTTTATTAGTTTCATTTGACACCAATGCTTTCCCACCTACTCTCTGACCATGGATTTTACATTAGCAGCTAGAACAGCTACCACTTTCAGGTTACTCACGTCCCTAAAGGCTCCTTATCTATCACTGGCATAATGGATATCAAATAAATGCAGGAATGTGGCAGAAATAAAGATGCATCATAATACCAACCCATGGGTGGGTGCGCTAGTAAAGGTGATAGAAGCATCAATACAATAAATGGTACACATTGAGGAGTCTGCCAAAAACAGATTACCAGGTAAAGATACGTTACATTTGTTGATGCTGTGGAATATTACTTTAACTGTGTGAAGGCATGTCACATTCATTTCTGTTGCCTTTGTTAAGGAAGTAAAGATGTGTTGCATTTGTTTCACCTTGCCTGTCTACTGCACCGGATTGGTCTAATAAAAAGCAGCATGGCCAATAGCTAGTCAGGAAAGGGATAGGTGGGGCTGGTGGGCAAAGAGATTAAGTGAGAGGAGAAATCTACGCTTGAGAAAGGAGAGAGAAGGAGAGAATGATGAAGAAAGAGAGGGACACACGTGGGGCCAGAAGCCAGGCAGTCACCAGACACAAAAAGCAGTGAAAATAAGATACATAGAAGGAAAGAAAGGTAAAAAGCCCCTAAGCAAAACATAGATAAAGAGAAACAGGCTAAGTTTTATATAAGAGTCTGCAAGAAAAAGGACTAAGCTAAGGCCAAGCATTCAAAACTAATACTAAGTCTCCATGTCACGCTTTAGGAGCTGGTTAGTGGGTCAAAAGAGAAAAAGCCTGGTAATTTAAGTCATCAAGCAGCGCTGTCTTCTTTGCTTAAATGCCTAGCAACATGCTCTTCTTACTTGAATGTCAGGCTAAAACCTGGCTCTGTTCTTAGCTGCTTCTTTCTGTAAGTCTGCCACTATCAAATATTACTCTGAACAAAGTGCATAGTTATCTCATAACTACTTATAAATAAACTAAACAGTGTCCCCATTTTATGAAAAGAAACTGAGGCCCCATAGATTAAAAACAGCAACTGTGTAGCCAATAGGATAGGGGCACCAGTGTTTGTCTTTATTCTTCTACAGTTTTCTCTATTAATGGAGAATGCTGCCACTATTTTACTCCTAAGTTCCATTCTTATTAGGTCAGATATTTGCTAAATGTTGAAAATAGCTCTTAGAATCTGCTAAACATTTAGCCATATACCAGGAATTTATTTTACTCAGTTCTTTTTTTACTGTGTGAAGAAAGCACATAATCGCCTCTTCTTCAAGTCTCCTTCCTTTGAATGTGAGGCTGAAAGCTCTAAGCATAGAAATCACCTTCTTAAGAAACTGTCAAGAGCTCTCAGCAACTCTCGTTCTACAGTTTCCAAAGTTTAATGAAGAATGTATATATTTGTTAGATTGTAAACTGTGATACAAAAAATTCAATTCAGACATTTAATAAATGTGTCCAACTTTTTGACATTGGGACACAACATTGTCATGAACTATTCAACTGAGCTACAAAAATTTTCATTAAAACCTCTAACTTACATTTTATGTAAGTTTACAATTACTTGAGCTAGCCACATTTATAGATATTGTGGGGGCACATGTAGTCTGCAGGCCACTGGTTGGACACACCTGGTTCTATAGCAATTTCACTCAAAAACCTTAAGATTTTAAGTACAGCTATTAAGAAACTTGTCACCAATAGGGGGTGGATATGATTAAAATATACTGCATACAGGTATAAAATTTTGAAAGAATAAAAATATTATATAAAGGAAACATCACTTGGAGCTCCTTACCTAATAAATCAGTATATTCTTAGTATTCTACAATAAAAATATATTGAAGCCACATGAGAGCGCCACAATGTCGACAGTTTGAAAATTTTTGAGTGCATTAAAAGTACTTTGTTTTCCATTTGAGTTTTGAAATAAAATGTGTAATAAAATAGTTTTTGAAACTCATTTCATTGATATAATACTCTGGGAGAGGGTAAGGGAGTTAGCCCAAATCTACTGGGTTATAATGGACGAAATGCTGTTCTCTGTCTCTGTCTCTGTCTCTCTCTCTTTCAGGGTCTCACCCTTATCCATGGCTGACTTGAAACTTGCTATGCAGTCCAGGCTGACCTCAAACTCAAAAGATTTATCCGCCTGTGATCCCAAGCTCTGGGATTAAACATGTGTGCCATCACCTCTTTAAATTCATACTTAGTGGTAGCCGTGGGAAGCAGTACTCTATTTGAATGAACAGCAAGCAACCTAAATATTAACTCAGTCTAGGCATAGAGAACCTTATAAGCAACTTGAAACACTTAACTCCGCTCCCTTTCCTAAACCACTTAACCAACCTAAACTACTGAAAACCAGTCACTCAAATCAAACACTTAAGGGAAAAAAAATGATAAAAGCTTCCAGGGTTTTAGAATCTCAACTACATACCTTCTTATCTACTCCCAGGAAGGCTCTGTATCACTCATCTACACAGAACTGCAGGGCTCACAAAGGAAATGGGCAGATTTGCAGCATGCAAAGTACTGTATCCAGCAAATGATCAACTCCATTTCTGATGATTTTAAGTACAGATCTTACTTCTGCTTCTTCTATGTCTGTGTGAAGTGGTATTTCAGCCAGGTATATAAAGTTCTGTCTTTTGAATAATTTGCTTATCAGTTTCCACAGCTATTCTAGATATAATACAAATTAGTAAAACAGCTAAGTCTTTGTAGCATTGTGGTTTCTGCTTTAAAAAAATTATTTTGTATAGAACTCCAGGAAGTATTTTAAACTACTGCCTTTTAAAGTTTACATACAAAGTTTGTGAATAAATTTGTTATATTATGATGAGACCCTATTACTCTTTAGGCTAAGAACACAAAATAAGTACAGATGTTTTAAGACATATACTTGTACTGTCTATTAGCTACAAGACGTCTGTTGGCTCCCTGACTAGAAAAGGATGTGACTTTAAGAACTGAAATTAGGGGCACACGGGATTAGAGTGACTGCTGTTCTTGTGGATGATTTGAGTTCTGTTCCCAGCACCTATGGCAGACAGTTCACAACTGCCTGTAACTCTAGCTCCACAGGAATACAACACTCATTTCTAGCTGCCTACAGACGCTTGCACACATGTACACACACACACACACACACACACACACACACACACACACACACACAAAATAAAATCTTTTAAAGAACTGAAATTATGGAGACTGAGCCAGGAGATAACAAGTTTGCTGTCAGCCTGAGCTACAGAGCAAAAAATGTCTTGGAAAACAACAAATGAACAGTAATAGAAACCCTAAAACTGAATCACAACATTAAAAATATTGGCAGATGATAAGACTTATTACTAAAATAGTTGATGTATAAAATTTTTAAATTATCCCTGAACTCTACTATTTGACATGAACAAAATAAAACACTGTGGCTTTAAAAAATAAGTTGTTCTTTCTGTTTTGTTTTAAATTGTGTTTGTATTTCTACAGGACAAACATTCTGAAATAAATGTTCAAGACAATGACTACTTCACTTAAATGATTAGTAGCTTTCCTAAAAGGTCTGTACCCATTTTTGTTTCTGCCAATCCACAAATATATCTATGTATGTGTACTCACAACACACACAACTTTCCTATGCACTCTGTAGTATATTATGAATTTAAAATATATATATTTTAATCAAACTGATGAGAACTATATCTCATTTCAGTTCTCATAATCATGTATTTATGTGTGTAAGTATCTGTGTATTTACATGTGTGGGGGTGGGTATGCATGCATGGAGGCTTGAAAAGGGCACGGAAACCCCTGGAGCTACAGTTACGCCTCTTGTGAAATGCCTGTTATGTGGGTTTTGGGCCCTGAACTTCAGTCCTCATGATTGAAGAAGTGTTGTTTACTACTGAGCCGTCTCTCCAGCCCCCTTCCCATACTTCTTAAAGTCTCAGTCTGAAGAAAATCTCAAGGAATTTTCATATTTCCTTTTTGGCATGCTTGCCTGTAGCTTTAATCTAAAATTCTACCTTGGTACTTATTACTTATGTGGTGGTATTCTAAATGCTTTCCAGCTATTAACTTATTTAATCTTTACTCTCACCATCAGGTTACAGATGCACCACACACACCCACACATACCCACACACACAATGAGAGCTTACTAGGGTTACAAAATTAATGATATAAGAACTATCTATATTCCAGGTTAAGCAGTCTGGCTAAGAATCTATATTAATAACAATAACCAAGACAAATTATTCATAAGTCTAGGCTATTATTACAAAGTTTAAACTCTGTTGACTTAAAAATCCAAATGCAAACAATGAGGACACTAAGAGAGACTTACATTGGTGCGGGAGAATTACCTGTATTCTGTCAATCATGTATTTTAATAAAACGCTGATTGGCCAGGCAGGAAGTATAGGCGGGTCAACCAGACAGGAAGTAGAGGCGGGGCAATGAGAATAGGATAAGGCTAGGGAGGAGAAAGCTCCCT